AGTAGAATAAGAACAAGAACAAGAAGAACAAGAAGAACAAGAACAAGAACAAGAACAAGAACGGACTTGAGCAGTTCGGGAACTGCGAAGCTGCACAAAGGCTGAATTATGGCACACTTACACGTACATATGTCGCTTGCCATCGCGGAGAAGACCAGCTTGCCGCGCCGAACCTTCCACTCACTGCCATTTATCTTGTACAACTTTCTCTGCATGTGACTCTATCCATAAACATCCTTGCTTAACATTGGTAATTTGCACACGCATGTTTGCTATCGGCCCTCCTCTTTCGCGCTACCCGCAGCCCTCTGCCCTTCTCCGGGGACTTGATCACACTTTCGGCCTATCTCTGCTGCTCTGGGCCCTACAGTACCAAACCTGTGCTGCCAAGACAAACTCCTCAGCTTGACAGCCTCGAACGCCCCCAACCCGAAGGGCATCGCGGGTGTGCGAAGCTCTACAATTAGATACATATGGATCATACATATGGTTGTGGCTAATCTGTCCGTCAAGCACGGTAATGAAACAATAACCCACTTGTACCCTCTGTTAAACTAACATAGCTATGGAAGTGGGCCATTTTCCATAGCTATGTTTCGTTACCAGAGGGTCGTTGACCCATCGCCCATCCAATCCTGGGCCTGCCACCGCTGGCGCAGTCATGCTGCGGACTGGAAGGTCCTCTATGATGAGGGGACGGCCTTGGAGCTGCTGAGGTCCGGTGGGGTCCCGGTTCCCATAGATGACTCCAAAGGTTCCCATTAGCATTAGCTATGTCTATGGGAATATGGGAATATCATGTTTTTATGTGTTTGAAAGTGGATAAAATGGAATCTGGTGGAATATCATCGGATTTAATAGAATATACAACGAACTCAGTATGATGTTAGGACATATTATGGGTGCGTCTGAAATTCGGGGATGTAATATCCCCAATGGCAATCTGTGCAGGAAAAATAATTATAAACCGTTGGAATTTTGGGGCGCACTACTTTCAAACAAAACCCCATGCGAACCCTGGGAACAAAGTGCTCTACTTCAGATAAGCCCCACTGAGCCAGCTAATATAAACACATGCATCACCACCATCATAGCCATCAGCCATCAGGGAGTTTCATTATATCCTTGGTGCCACTTGAGCAAAACTGTCCTGTGATTTCCGAAAACAAAACGGTGGATGGAACATTCCAATTTCAGGTATGGGGTCAAAACCCTGGTTGCCCTAATGAACACCAAAATGGGTGGCGAATATATATGTTCATCCCCCCAATAAATAGGTTTTGATCCATCCCCATTTCAGGAAGCAAACTTGGAAGGATCTTACTTACATATAATACATACGGTCTATGCCAGGCTTCCGCCAGGGAAACGCAGGCAAATGCCCTGCCCTTTATGTGGTGAGCAGTGTCGAAAAACATTGAAAATCCAGGTCTTGATCTCCAAATTCCATGATTCCACCCACAAGATTTGGGACATGAGTTTGTCCCAAAATGGGCGATATCTCAAAATTTAACCATCCTGAGTGAGTTTCCCCACTTTAAATAACAATTTTGGCATCTTTTCCATAATTTTTGCGAAAGCCTACATACCTTCTGGTAAACCAACAGAACTGTGTAAAATCACCATGTTTCATAGGCAAATCCTCGAACTGAATGGGCCATCTATACCACTTCGCAAACTGCAACAAATTGCCGGAGGGTAATATTCAATACCCCCATACGGTGTGTGTGTATATATGCAATAGGTATATAATCCCATATTTGGGGAATATTCAATACCTCCAATGGTTAAATCCCGAAATATATATGTGTGAATTTCATTCCAGGTTCCTTCCACGTGACATTAGGTTCAGATGCGCCCCTAGGGTTTGTAGAAAGAATCCGGTTGTCTGCAATTTCATGGCAGCCGGAGCCCGGTTCTGGCAGTAGCTTGACAGCGAGTGCCAGGGTGAAGATCCAGGTGAGTTTCAACGAAGTTGGGAGGTTCATTTAGCAATACTGCGAAATGGTGCACCAGAAGGCCTTGCGGCCTACAAAGAGGCAGTCCTTCAATGCCTGATGGCCACAGAAACCCACAAGCGCTACTTGGTGGGCCCCAGATTAGTCCAGAGACTGACTGGCGTTGCCAAAGCGCTGATTCGGACCCAGACCCTTAGGGATCCCCAGTGGTTGGCACACCCTAGGGGCGCTTACAACACTGCTGGGGTTCCTGGAAGAGACCTTGGAGCGACCGTCACTGATAGAGGCAAACAAGCATGTCATGGCCTTCTTCTACCAGCTTGAGAGGAAGAAAGGTGAGACGATGACAGAGTGGATTGCCAGGCACAGTGAGAGGCTATGGGAGGCCTCACGGGCTCTCCAACGTGTCCAAAGGGAACATGGGCGACTGGAAGTGCCTAGTGAAAAGGAATGGAAGGACTCTAGGTCCAGCTACAGTAGAACAAGTGAAAGAAACACAGGAGGTCAGGAAGTGCGCTTCCGTGATGATGGCTTACTAGATGAAGAGGAAGATGACCAGACTAACGATGATTCCGAACAACATGCATGGAGGTGGAACAAGTCTTCATGGAGCTGGAGTGAATCATGGGGAGATTGGCCTTCTCCAGCCCTTCATTCCTGAGTTCCTGGCAGGATTTCTGCTTCTACAATGTAGTGGACTGGAGCCGAGTGAAAGGTCAAATATAGGCAGCAGCTGCCTACATCCTTGAAGAGGACGACGAAGATGCCCTCTACAACAATGTGGATGAGCATGAGTTCTCTCAATGGGGTCCGGAACAACAAGAGGCCTACCTGGCTGAACAGCAAGCCATTGATGAGGTCTTGGAGGCCATCAAGGTCCAGAAGTCCACACTGAAGGAAGCCCGTTGGCGCCAGCGCCAAATCAAACTTGGAAGGAACTTCTACCCTCCAAGGCCCTACAAAGGAGGAAAAGGAGATGGCCGCCCTTCCAAGGGAGACATCAAGTGCTTTCGGTGTGGAGGACCGCACTACCAGGACAAGTGTCCGCAGAAGTTCAAGGAGAAGAGTGCGCAGATCGAGATGAAGAGTCAGCTGAGATTGCCTTCGCAGCTTCTGAGTTTGCAGGCGAAGCAGACTATATGGAGCCCAATACCAACAAATTGTCAAAGTTCCAGTACGGCATCACCGATTCTGGAGCGACAGCATCGTTAGGTAGCGTCGATGCACTCGAAGAGCTGATGATAGCCAACATTCATGCCTGTGGGGACAGCAAGATGCAGGTCAACACGTCCAAGCGACCCACCTTCAAGTTTGGCAACGGCATGCGAAAAGAGTGTCTGAGCACTATCAACCTTTTCATTGGTGCCGGTGAGAAGCGTGGGAACATGGAAATTCATGTCCATGACTCACCAGGACAACCTGTCCTGATCTCACGAAAAGCTCTGGCAGCCTTGGGTGCCGTGGTGGACTTCAGCGAGAACAAAGTCATCTACAAGGCCGTGAACCCAAATGTGGTCTTGACGCTGAAGCAAGCTGAGAATGGTCACTTGTTGATGCCGTTGACCGGCAACATTTTAGATGGTGGTCACAAACGTGCCACTCCTTTTTCCAGCCTAGATGAATAGGGACAACTCTCGTCTGAGCACATGGAGAAAATCCGCCCACACCGCTTTGGCGGTGAAGGCGTGCTTATTGGGGGGCAACAGCAACACTAAATGCTCAATGACATTTGTTAATATAGCAGTCGCTATATCAGCTTTAGCTGGGGGGGGGGGGCCCAAAAACGGTTTCGCACCGAGACCAGAATACGGTGGTGTTTTCGACATTTTTCGAGGATTTTTGGGTGTCTGAGCGCAAGAGGGTATTGAAATGGAATTTTGGGTCATTTTGGCAGCTTTCCGGCAATGGAAAAACGGCCAAAAATGAAAAAAACATTGTACATAGCAAGATTTTGCAGGGTTTTTGGATGCCAGAGCATTGAAAACACTGCAAAAACAAGTGTTTTGGACTGACGTTATAGCAAAAAACGTGTAAATTACCGTATGCTTGACTGGAAACATTACAAAAACACTGTCAAAAGCAATGTTTTGGAAGGATTTACTGCCTTTATGGCAAAAAACGTGTAAATTACCGTCTGTTTGACTGGAAACATTGGAAAAACACTGTCAAAAACAATGTTTTGGAAGGATTTCTTATATATATGTTGGAGTTGGCTACCGGCATTGGCACATGGAAAAATTGAAGAAAACACTGTAAATAGCGGTATTTTCAACGGTTGGGGAGATAAGGGAATTGGAAGCATTGTCGAACATGATGTTTTCGACCGGTTTTATGGCGACAAAAGTGTAAAGTACCGTGCTTTGAAGGAAACCATTGCAAAAACATGGAAACACATTCAAAGAACACGGGATTTGGGGGACTATCTAGGCGTCGTTGTCTAGCTATTTGAAATTCCGCAGCTTGGAGAGCCTCCAAGGGAGGGAAAAGTGAAAATTCCATAGCTTGGGAAGCTGTCACGGCGGGGAAAAGTGAAAATTCCCTAGCTTGGGAAGCCCCCACGGGGGGGAAAAGTGAAAATTCCCTAGCTTGGGGAGCCCCCACGGGGGGGAAAAGTGAAAATTCCCTAGCTTGGGGAGCCCCCACGGGGGGGAAAAGTGAAAATTCCCTAGCTTGGGGAGCCCCCACGGGGGGGAAAGTGAAAATTCCCTAGCTTGGGGAGCCCCCACGGGGGGAAACCACCCTTAGCCCCTCTCACGGACGGAAATAAACCTGCGGTGTGGGCGGCCACCCCACGCGAAGCGGGGTGAATAGCTCAGGGGAGTCCGAACTCAACATTGCAATGTGCAAGTAAGAAAGTTCTAGGCATTTGTCAGTTTTGTGAACTTCAATCTGTACAGCACGATTTTTGCATGTTTTGTCATGAAACCCAGATCCCGCATGAGAACAAGACACACAAATCACACGTGTGCACACAGCACTCTCAGGATCGAGATCGTAGTTCCCAGCCTGCTACCACTGCTACCAACACAGGTGTCCATGGCCATGTCTCAGTGCAAGAGCAAGGCAGACTGGAAACACAAGTTGGAGGAGGCCGGCCTGATGGTTCCCAAGGATGCGACCCTCCAACACATGAAGATGATTTGGGCCGAAGCTCAACAAGAACTCAAAGCCAAGAACTTAGAGGGCACCTTGGGGTCCGAGATCAAGGCACTCCGTGCTGCGGGCCGCAAGAAGTCAGTTCTGTTGGACTTCATGAAAGACAAGGGCATGGTGACCAATCCCAATTCGGCCATTGCTTTGCTTCTGGCGCCGGGGGAGAAGAAGGAGATTTACAATCAGCACGAACCCCCACGGGAAGCGAGAAGATGAATTTTGGGAAGTATGCAGACCTCACATTCGAGGAGGTATTCAACCTACACCCCTCATATGTGAATTGGATCGCCACCACAGCCCAGGAGTCAGACAGTGTGCACTGGCGTCTCCTCAGGTTCCATCGCTGGGCAACTCAGATGCGCTCCAAGCAGAAGATCACGTAGGCCCTGAAACCCAATGTCAAGGGCAAGGACAGCTCCACCGGCAGCTTCAGTGTGTTGTCGGAAGGGGAGGAAATCACACCCGCTGCTCAGGAGATCATGGAAGCCTGGAAGCAAATCCAGGAAAAGCGCGATCAGCTGGAAGCCCAAGCGCAGGAACTGCAGCAGCAGAAGTGCGACCTCGATCACGAGATCCTCGCCAACACGAAGGATCGCAAGACCCGCCGCGAGATGTAGATTCTACAGTGAGTCAGGCACTTCCGGCTGAGGTAGTATCCAAGTTGGCACAAGCATGGCACCTTCAACGTAACCTCTTTAGTGAACAATGGAAATCTCTTGTTCGTCATCGTCGTCCTCTTCTCATGGAACTTGCTTGCTACGAAGATAGGATTTTAGGTCAGGAGGTTTGAATGAAGATACGGAAAGAATTCTACTATTCGTTGCAGTAAGTGGAATGGAGGAGACTTGGAGACTAAGGAGGGTGTCCAACATGCCAAACGTATGATTGAGAAGTTTCGTCCTGTTCATCTTTGGATATCCTGCAACTGTGCCCCGTATTGTCCTCTTGTATTGTCCTCTTCAACGCATCAACCAACGTAATGAGAGTCAAAAACAAAGACTTGAAGAGAAAAGATGCCAAGTACGAAAACAGTATGCAGGAGCCATTGAGGTGGCAGACTTTGCAAGGTCTCTCAACGTACAGGTCCATTGGGAACTGGCGGAACGATGCGAGGCCTGGAAACTGGCCGAGATTGAAGAGTTCCTGCTTCGACATGCACTCAAAAAGATCACATGTCGTGGGTGCGCAGTCGGTCTCAAAACTCTGGATGGGAAACAAGCTCTATGTAAGGGTTGGACTATTGCGACAACAAATGCAGAGCTTCAACAACATCTAGATCTTCGGTGTCAACGAAACCACCAGAAGGGTAGATGTGAAGGAGGACAAACCGCACACACAGCGCGGTACACACAGCCTTTTGCAAGAAAAGTGATTGATAGCCTGTCAGCTTGTGAAACCTGGTCCAGGATCGTGAACCTTCTCAACAAAGAGGTGGAAGCTGCACTACCGGCTGAAGAGCCAGAAGATGCAGACATGCCGGAGGAGGATGTGAAGATGGAGGACGTGGCCATGCTACCCGAGAATGAAGAGGAGAGGCGGGAAAGGGAAGAGATTGAGAAGAAAATAGCTCATATACATCGTAGCACAGGTCATGGGAACATGGAGAATCTAGTTCAAGCCTTGCAACATAGAGGAGCAGGTGAAAAGGTGTTACAAATTGCAAGAAACTGGAAGTGCTCTACATGTCAAAGATATCAAAGGAGAGATCCAAGGAGATTTGCCACCTTGGAACCTATACCACAAAAATGGGAACGGATACAAGTTGATGTGGCGACATGGATGCACCCACAAACCAAGGCCAAGTACCATGTTTTGCTGGTGGTAGATGAGGGCTCACGGTTTCAGATTGCCAAGGTCATCAGTTCTGGCGAAGGAAATCAGGCAACATGGGAGGACATGAAGAAGGTATTAGAAGAGAACTGGTTTTCTATTTTTGGAGTCCCAAAGGTCATGAAGGTAGATCCAGCTGGCCCGTGGATGTCTCAGGCAGCCACTGACTCGGCAGAGGAGAACCGGAAAGGTGTAGAGATTGAGTGGGAGTTACCATCATCAAGGAGAGGCATCAAAAAGTTTATCAACAACCCGGAAGCCTATGTTTGTACTCAACTCAAGCGAAAACAAGTAGAAGTTCGAGAAAAACAACTTACTCCGTCAGAGGCTCTTGAGTTTCACAAGGCAAAGGAAACGGAGCTGAAGAATTTCATTGCTTCAGGATGTTTTGAGTTGGCCAAGGATGTAGTTCCTGATGAGCATCGTATTGTGGGTATGAGGTGGCTTTTAACATGGAAACATGGCGAGTCTTACGAGGGAGGCAAGAAGGCCAAAGCACGTGGTATTATTTTGGGCTACCAAGATCCAGAATATGAAAACAGGAAAACATCCGCCCCGACACCCAGCCGCTCAGGTAGACAGCTGTTCTGGCAACTTTGCAGCTGGAAGCGCTTTCGGCTGAAGAAGGGCGACATATCGGGGGCCTTCCTTCAAGGCGATGACATGGAGGAGGAATTGTGGTGTCGTCCCGTGAAGGAGATCACCGATGCGTTAGGACTCCCAGAACACACTCCAATGTTGATGCGTAAAGCTGCTTATGGACTCGTTCAAGCACCCCTCCAATGGTTTTATACTATCAACAACTTCCTGGGCAACTTGGGTTACAAACAACTTCAAACTGAACCATGCTGCTGGGTTTGGGTGGACACAGAAGGACAGTTGAGATCCATTGTCCACTCACATGTCGACGATCTGATGTTTGGAGGCAGAGGATGATAGTATTCACCATGGTCTTCTTGACCAATTACAAGCACGATTTAAATGGGGTAGCTGGGAGGATAGATGTTTTGTACAATGTGGCATTGAGGTAGTTCAAAATGAGGACTATTCCATTGACCTCAAGCAAAGTAACTTCATCAACGACATTGAAGAGATTTATCTTTCCAGAGACCGCAGTCGCCAAACAGGACAACCAGTGACAGAAACGGAAAAAAAAACAAACTACGAGGAGCTCTTGGCAGTCTGGCTTGGGTATGTGGTCAAACATGTTTTCCCTATGCAGTTGACACAAATGTCCTGGTCACAAACATTCCTGTTGCAACAGTAGAGCATATTCTTCATACCAACAAGGTTATTCGAGAGGTCAAAAAGCTGAAAGATGTCGCATATCGTATTCAGAATTTTCCGGAACATGAGGAGCTGGAATTGTTTTGTTGGGCCGATGCAGCGTGGGCCAATAGGCCAAATGGCACTGATTCCACTGAGGGCATCTTTGTTGGCATGTCAACTTCTCGTTTACGACATGGTTTTGAAGAAAATGTATCTCCTATTCAGTGGCGTAGTGGAAAAATAGAACGCACATGCCGAGCTCCAGCGTGTGCTGAGGTGATGGGCTGTCTGGACGGTGAAGATGAACTCACTTTTCTGCGGCTTCTACGGACTGAAATGCAAGGGTACACTATCAACACTAGTAAGATCGATGAATCCATCCAGTATACCAAGGGCATGTTAATCACAGATGCACGCAACCTCTTTGACAAACTGATACGACCAACAGCATCCGTCAAGGGCGCAGAAAACGGTCTTCAATAGAAGCTCTTAGTCTTCGCGAAAATCTTGAGAGGGGAACAGCTGACATCCACTGGGTGAACGGAGCAATGATAGCAAACTCTTTGACCAAAACAAAAGAGAAGGGTCAGCTCATGTTGTACCTGGCCTCAGGATTTCGATGGAAGATCGTCTTCGACGAGAACTTTGTCTCCGAAAGGAAGAGGAAGCAAGCAGGCTGTGATGCTTTTGAAACCATGCGCGCACAAACACACACAAAACAAGGAGAAGGCAGGATCTGGGATTCCACGTCAGTTCCAGGAAAGTGAAAACCACTTTCATTTAATTTATAAAGGGGGACCAATGTGAATTTCATTCCAGGTTCCTTCCACGTGACATTAGGTTCAGATGCGCCCCCAGGGTTGGTAGAAAGAATCCGGTTGTCTGCAATTTCATATGTATATATAACGATAATAGGTTCAATCCCATTAAATCCCTACATGTATATAATCCCTATTTAACCGCTGGCTATATATATATTATATATATATATACATATTATGTACATTGCCAATCTTAGATTCCCTGCAAAAAGTTGAATCCTTACTAGACTCAGTAAACATTCCCATCGAAAAAATTGAAATCACAAAAGATTAAAGAATTAAAGCACCCATCCAGTTGGTTAACCTAGATATTCTGTATATGATATAGGTATATAATCCCTATATTTGTTTAACCATGGTATATCTATATATACATAATAGTAATTAAACCAATGGATTATCCCATTAAGTCCAATAATAGGTATATCCCTATTTAACCAATGGTATTTAACCAATAGGTTTAATCTCTATATATGTACTAACTCCTATATATTATGGTATTTAATATATAGAAGGCTTATATCCTATATATCGGATTAATTTATAAGCCTAATCCTACAGGATGGGGCCCTCCAATTATAAGTTGGCTTAAAACCCCATCCAAATATAGTTATTTGCGTATCATAAACCATAGTTATTGGAGTTATAAACCAACTGAACGCTATCGACTGGGGGCCCCATCCTGTAGTAAATCCTACTTGGTGGCTCATCCCACTTAGTAAGTGGATTATAACCCCAGTTATAAGTGGATTAACCCTACTTATCCCATTTATAACTGGGGTTATAATCCACTTACTAAGTGGGATGAGCCACCAAGTAGTAAATCCCACTAAATAGGGATTTCACCATTGATCTGAAGGCTCCGCACCGGGCTTCGTCGGAGAGGTCACGGAACGTTTGAATCCTCGGAAACTTACGATGCCGCGATGAATTTCCGCAGAAAACCAGGTGTTTTGATCGGACAAAAAAAGAACTGAATTCATGGTGATTGAAAGGGGTTTAATGGAATTTTATGATGATATGAATGGTATATTAATGGTATTCAATGGTGATTCAATGGTACTTCATGGTGATTTGATGGTGGTTCAATGGGATGTTGATAGCTAAGTTAGTTTAACAACAACTTGGTGAATTCTAACGAGTTTATGGGGGGAATATAGCAATAGTTTATGAGGTTTATAAAGCAACTATTGTTAACTATCTATCAATGAATCTATATGATCTGGATGTCTTTGAAAATTGCTCAGGAGTTTCCAATGGTTTTTTCATGGCCACTTTGGAGTGCATATCGGTATTACTTGAATCGACACGCCGCCATGTTTCATCAATATCTATGTCTCATCAAATCGATTCAGAGTAATAGTCATTTGAAACAAATGCTCAACATGGTAAAATGAAAAATAAACCAAAAAAAGATGGCCCCGCTTGGCTAATCTTCCCGACAATTCCATACATACTATTGGGCTCTATTATTGGGTTTGACGCTAAAATGTTGATGGCTGTGCATTTTTTTACGAAGTAACGTGGGGATATCACCAACTATGATGGGATATCACGAAACATAAGCACTCAAAATATTGCTGGGTTGTTGTAGCAATCTTATGTTTGATTTACAAAACACTTCGTGGGTAAATTAAAATACTTCACAGGCTGGAAATTTGAAAATGTTGACAATTTCTCGGCTGCTTACCCTTGTTAAGTCTGATGCCGCCAGCCAGTGGGGTGGTTCCAAATCATCTAGAATCTAGAAATCATGTTTCGTAGATGATAGATGATTTAGAACCACTTCGTGTGAAACTACCATAGTTGGGAAATCATTCGTAGTTGGGAAACTATCATAAATCCAAAAGACTTCGGACTTCGTGTGATTTATTTCGGACATCGGAATCGTCACGGGGGCCATGGTAACTTTCTTACGAAATTTCTGCGCAGGGGATAGGGACCATGAGCAGGCATACCAGTTACTAATTATTTCAGATGTCCAAGTGTTTTTAACACATATCTATACATATCTTAGATATCTTTCTACTGATATCTAATGATATTCTTTTTTTGGCCTGCCCAATCACCATGCTTGATGCAAAAGAACAACCACCTTTGTTGGATCAGCCAAAAAAGTTCATCCAGCGCTGGTTCTACCCGACATGTCGTTTGTTTTGAAACCAACCATATATAAGAAAGGCCCCCATTTGCCAGCCACAAATTGGTTGGAACCAAGGTGATGTAACTCTATTTCTGCTGGTTGTAACCTTTGTTACATTAGGATTTAGATGGGTAGAAGTCTGTGTCGCAGGGTGTAACTTATGCCTTTTGTAGGAACATCCCAGTTGACAACAGCATTTTCTGTTGATGGATTGCTGGTCAGCACAAGTTCACAGTTGCTTTTCGTATGCTCAAGTGATAAAGGCATACCAACGCCTCGTCCATTTGAGGATTAAACTGACTGAACCATGCAAATGCTGGAAACTTCTAATTTCACGCATGGATGGATATTCATGGATAGTTTCCATATATCGGTTTAGATCTCCATACTTAAGTACTATCTACAAATACATCTCTAAATACTGTGGATGTTTCTGAGGGTTACCACCATCATCACTTGATCACCATGATCACCACGATCACCATGACGGCTTCTTCAGTCCCTTTCTTTTCTCTGGGCTGAGAACCTGCAACTGAGCTATCGAAATATTTAAACCTCCAGTTTTAATGTTTAAATCCTTATTATTAATGCTTAAATCCCCATATTTTCCATTGTTCTTGGTCCGGTTTTTGTGTCCGAGCGTCCATAGTGCTCTGGCGATGGCAACTCTGGCAACTCTAGCAACTCGCACGCCAAACCCGCAGTCCCGGGAAGTGCGAGTTGCTTGCCTCCGCGGTGTCGGGGTCTCTGACAGTAGAGCCAAGCGATTTGATCAGTGGCAAACCATGGACTGGTGTGTCCATGAATGGTTGTGATTCTCTCTGTTGATGTGAAACCAACCGAAGAAAATGCATACCTGTAATTCAATTCAGTGATTACACTTACACATACATTACCAATATTGAAGGGTAAAGCCATCCTGCAAACACTAGTTGGGTGTAACGAGTTTGTGATGCAGTCCACCAAGTTTGGTTGAAAAAGAAAGAAACATTATCCCGGCAAGAGACCCCAAACAGTGTGGGGGGAGTAAAAAGATAATGTATTTTAATGTTGATGATGATGTTAATTAATGTGGACGATGATGGGTTTTAATGTTGATATTGATGTTGATGATGACGATGATGATGGTGGTGATGATGATGATGGTGATGTTGATGATGGTGATGAAGAGGATGAGGATGAGGATGATACTGATGAGGATGAGGATGAGGATGATGATGATGATGATGGTGATGGTGATGGTGATGGTGATGGTGATGGTGACCGTGATGGTGATGGTGATGGTGACGGTGATGGTGAAGGTGATGGTGAAGGTGATGGTGGTGATGGTGATGGTGATGGTGATGGTGATGGTGATGGTGATGGTGATGATGAGGATGATGGTGATGATGATGGTGATGATGATGATGATGATGATGATGATTATGATGATGGTGATGATGATGGTGATGATGATGATGATGAGGAGGAGGAGAGGAAGATGATGATGTTGAGGAGGAGAATGCTGAGGAGGAAGACCGATCCCAAGACCGGGAAGCACACTTTGTGCGAGCCTGCGCAGTCGAAATGCAGACGGACATTGCACAACAGCCATTTTGAATGGAAATTTAAGGAAAAACGACCGGGGACACCTCCGGGGACATGGTTTTGTGCGAGCCTGCGCAGTCGAAATGCACATGGACATGATGTCACAAGAGGCATTT